GTGATTCATGTGAAAAATGAGGATAATAATAGCTTCTCCCTCCCAGGGTTGTTGTAAGGATCAAACACGATAATATTTGTAAAGTGGTTAGCATAGTTCTGGTACATAGTAGGTGCTAAATAAATGCAATGCATATGGCCTTCCCCCCACCACCACACACACACACACACACACACACACACACACACACACACACACACACACACACACACACACACACCCGAATGAGGAAAGAAGTAGAATACATAGGAAGAACATTGGCTGTAGAATCAGAAGTTCTGAATTCAAATTCTGCCTCTGATCTTTACTGCCTGTGTGACCTTGGGCAAAAGTTACTTAAGCGTCACGGCCATCAGTTTCCTCATCTGTGAAAAGAGGGAATTGAACTAGTTGGCCTCCAAGATTGTTTCCCAGTCTAGATTTATGACCCCATATAGCCATATAGTATTTACTTATCTGTGTGCTGTTATACTCCCCCTTCCCCTACCCCAGTGTGATTCATGATCCTTAAGGACAGGGATTATTTTCTTTTGTCTGCATCCTCAGGTTCTAGCACGGGATCTGTCCATAACAGACGCTTAATTACGGCTTGTTGAATTGAACTAAAGATGTGTCTGTGTCATGTTTTCATTATTTCCCTCTTAAAAGCTGGCATTAATCAGTTAATGCTGTTGTCAATTATTCTGCCTATGTCCCCAGGTGACCAGAAAAATAGATAACTGCTCCTCTGGCCATCTAGCCTCATTTGCATGTGTTCTAATCTTCAAAGCATGACTTTTGAGGCTTTTAATCAATAGTTATTTGAGAAAGCTTGTCATTATTTCCTAATTGTCCAAATTCATTCTCTTCATTTTTTTCTTATTAAAGGAAGCTTTTTCAAATGAGTCGAGTAGATCAGTAATTTTGGACTTATTATGAACTTCTAGCCCTTCTCCCAATTACCAGCAAGGCTGTTTTCTTTCCCATTGTGGTATTTTTCTCCTGCGTCTGAAGGTCTCCCAGCCTCATTTTTTTTAAAGTTAGTTCACCAAACATTTTAGATACAGTTCAATCTATCCTGAGTACCAAGTGAAAATTAGCCTGTGCACAAAAGTATAGAAAAATAAGATTATAAGAAGATACAAAGGATTATAGACAATAATATTAAGGTTATAAATAAAATATGTAAAATAACAATAATAATACACTTCATATAATACATAGTATTTTAAGGTGTGCAAGTATTTTACAATCATCTTCTCATTCTATTCTTACAACAACCCTGGGAGGAAAGTGCTATTAATATCTCAGTTTTCCAAATGAGGAAAGTGAGGTCGACATGGATTAAGTGACTTGCCTAGGGTCACATAACTGCCAATTATCTGAGGCAGGATTTAAACTCTGGTCTTCTCCATTCCAGCTGCATTATTATGATTGCTGTACTGCCTAGCTACCCCTATATTCATTACCACATCTTGAAAGCTATATTCAAATATGGCTAATTTTTGTGAAGATGAATCATAACTAAAAGTGATGGTATTGATATACAAGGACATATTTTCTTTTTTCTTTTTTTGGTCTTGATCCCAACTAGTGATTTCATCCCTCTGGGGAACTTGTTACCTCTATCCTCCATTTTGGCAATAATAAAGTGCTTTACAAATGTTAAAGTGCCATATAAACGCTAATTATTGTCATTGTTATTACACTGTGTACTCTTAAAAAGCTGTTTGAGAAATTAAGTGACTTGCTGGTACTCACATAGCCAAGGTATGAGTCAGGACTTCAACCTGACTCTGCCTGACCCTACAGCCATCTCTCTCTCTCCTATATGCTACACTGTCTCTCAGTAGATGCATTTTCCAAAGGAGGCTTTGACCTGATCTTATGATACTCAATCCTTCCCAATACAGTGAATTGGGGGAAAAAAAAGTATTTATTTCAAAGACACAAACAACTTAATTACCCTTCTCATACTCTGATAGCAGATATCCTTCTCAAAGGCAATGAATATATTTATTGTATTAAAATTCAAATCATGACCAAAGGATCCTATTGGAGTTGGAATAAGCATTTCTTAATCCCAGAGGATTTAACAGTTAACCTACAATTAACTCATTTTTACAATTAACCTGCTAGCTATCCAGTGTACTCTTCCAAAGCCAAATTTGTACTGAGAGTCCTAAGGGTCCAGGTTTCCTCTAGTTCTTCTTCTTGTTATAAGCTTTCACTGTTACTGCATCTTCTTATTGTATTTTTCTCCAATATTTTCCATTTTTATTTCAGAGAGCTGGTTAGCTGGTATGTCCTCAGAATTCTTTCATGAGCCCTTATGAGTGTTACTGAACTCTGAGTTGATCTTACCAAAGGATAACATTGTATAATGAAAGTCTTATGCCTTCACATTGAGCATCACCTTTGGCCCACCAGTTTTCTTTTTAAGTAAACAAGTGCTGTCCACTTGGGAGGGAGGGGAGTTAAAAGAAACAAACCAGAGTCCAAATCTCCAAGAAAACAAAAGTGAACAACAATTAATACTGAAAACTAAGCCAAATTTCCTAAAAAGTACTCTGTTGCAACTGTCCAGTCTTCAGCTCTTAGAAAGTTCCTTGAGGTCCAACAGAGTTGGAAAAGAGGTAGAGGTGGAGAATGCAGTACGTTCTAACCTGGCTTCAACGACTCTATTTTTATAATGCAGGCATGTGAAATGTCTTGTTCTTCGGTCATTTTCCAGTCATTTGTGACTCCATTTGGGGCTTTCTTGGCAAAGATCCTGGAGTGGTTTGCCAATTCCTTCTCCAGCTCATTTTACAGATGAGGAAACTGAGGCAAACAGGGTGAAGTGACTTGCCCAGGGTCATACAGATAGTAAGTGTCTGAGGCCAGATTTGAACTCAGAAAAATGAGTCTTCCAGGCTCCAGGCCTGATACTCTATCCATGGATATTACAAATGTAGTAATAATATCCAAGGATCCATTTCCTTCCCCAGCTTATTTTACAGATAAGATGAGTCTTCCTGACTCTAGGACTGGCACTCCACCCAGCTCCTCTATTATAAATAAATAAACATATAAATAAACGTATGTCCGTTTCCTGTTTCTAAGATATCAGATTTCCTTAACATGGAAGTACTCTTATCCCTAACTACTTACCCTCCACTCTCACCCCCACACAAAGATCACAAACCATGTATGATTTAGCATATCAGTTCTAGGAAATTGTCTGAATCACAGTGAGGTAAAGTGACTTGCCTGGGATCATAGAGCCAAGAAGTGTCACAAACACAGCGTATAAATCTGGTTTTTCTTGATGCTAAGCCTAGCACTTTACTGACCACACCAGGCTTTCTTTTTTTCTGACATATATTAAATAATTTAATCATTCCAATATTTAGGTCAGGCTTTTATTTTTTTAACCTGTTTCACATCCTTGGGCAGCTAGGTGGTGCAGTGGATAGAGTGCCAAGCCTGAAGTCAGGAAGACTCATCTTCCTGAGTTCAAATCTGGCTTCAGACACTTACTAGCTAAGTGACCCTGGGCAAGTCACTTACCCCTATTTGCCTCAGTTTTCTTATCTGTAAAATAAGCTGGAGAAGGAAATAGCAAACCACTCCAGCATCTTTGGAAAAAAAAATAAATGGGGACATGAAGAGTGGGACATGACTGAAAACAACTGAACAGCAGAGTTCAAATAAAAATGGCCCTTGGACAAGTCAGTATTCTGCTATTGTTCTTATATATTTAATGTTTTTTAGATTCTTATGGCACAGGTAGATAAGTATTTTCTATAAATAAATAAAATTACTTGGATATTACTACTACATTTGCTCATATTTCTAGAGTGCTTTCAACATTTATGAAGCGCACATCATGCTATTTTGCACTTTATCCCCCCTCACCCCAATAAGCTATTTGCCAAGATTACTGCACCAAACTTAATGGAAGGAAAAAAAACAACTCTGAGATGACACATGAAAATGTGAGGCTTAACCTTCTGCCAAGAGCTGAGGAAATCAATGAACTCAAGTGATGAACTCTCATCAGCCTTCAGATTGAACTTTCCCAGTTCTGCCATTTGTAGAAGAGAAAGACAGTGCAGGGAAGTCCATGGGCCAACAAGGGGGTACACACACCAGCAGGGAGGTTCATGGGCCTCCCCCATGAAGGGATGGGGACATCAAATCGAGAGGGAGGGCAGGTGGGATGGGTAGGAGCATGCAGTGAATGAAGAAGGAGCTGGGCACAAAGGCAAATGCCAAGAAGTACATCACTTAGCTTCCACACTCTCTTTCTAACCCAGTTTTTCTCCTTCAAAAATGGTGCATCAAAGCACACGGAGTTGTGGCATCAGGTGATCAAGTCACAACAAATCCTTTCTCAAGCACACCCATCTCATGGCAAGCCCAAGGAAGGAAGAGAACTCATTCTGCCTTCCAAAGCAAGCCCTGGAACTTTCTCATGTTAGTGATGTTTTAAATGCATGTGCCCAGAAACTGCCAACCTTCGTGAAGTGCTGCCCTTGAAAAGAAAGAGAACCAGTTTCTCGGAGGTGTGAAAAATGAAAGTTACATCAGGGGAGTCCTGGAAGGGTAGTGAGTATGAAGAAGTTGAATAACACATTGCAAGAGAATTCTATGGCTTTTTTATTTTACTCATTCTTGGACCAGAGAGACAGTTCTCTCTGTCAAGAAGATACCGGCAATTTCAATCAGAGTGGAGGTCAGAATGAGGTCTCCTGATCGCTAAAATGGGATTTCCTTTACAAAACTAACTACGGTATATTTACTGGGGCCCTCTGAACTGGGGTGGTGAATAATTAAAGCTGCACTGAAAAGTACATTCTGCATTACTGATTACATTACTCACACTGGGTTTTTGTTTGACTGGCTAACGTTAAGGGTTCCACACTTCCAGAGAGATGACCCTTGTCATCTGTCTGAATCAACAAAATCTGTCATTTTCTGTAAAGTCAACACAGGCCACATCTTGAGCATAAATAATGCCACTACCGTCCACTCACCATATTGGCATCGAGATCCCTGAAACCCCACAGAACACTGGCACACCTGTGCTTCCCCGTCTGGACATTGGCCTCCGTTGAAGCAAGGACCTGCTGAACAGAGGGCTAAGGGGTCAGGGGGAGGCAAGGAAAAAGAAAACAAACAATCCTCAATATCACCCTCTGCATTCAAGCCTATTTGCTGTTTCCTATGTAAACATCCTATCTCCCAACCCTTGCCTTTCCACAGGCTGCTCCCCTTGCCTGGAACGCCCTCCCTCTGCATCTCTACCTCTTGAAATCCTGAGCTCCATCCAAGGCTTCATTCAAAGGCCACCTTCTCCACTATACCACTACCTGGCCTTTCTTCATTCCTTAATTGTTAACCCTTCCCTCCCCCCTACTCCTCAAATTATTACTTCTTATTACATTGTGTATATTTGTGTGGGTCTCTGTGTGCATATGAAATGTATATATGTATGTATATACATACACACACAAACACACACACATATATATGTAAATGTGTGTGTGTGTGTGATTTAAATGCCAGTCTCCACCCCACAGAAATGTGAACTCATTGAAGGAGAGGGACTCTTCACACTGACCTTTTGAAGGTCCACTTCCTAGCAAAGGGACTGGCATATAGTAGGTGCATAAGAAATATTTCTTGAAATGAGTTGAAATAAAGCACCTTGTGGATGAAAGCATCATCAATACAATTCAGAAATAAAGCACCTGACAAATATTTGTTGGGATCCCTCCCAATTAGGCACATGCTGTAAGCCATAAAACGTGGTTTCTGCCATCGGGGAGCTCACCCTCTCTGCCTGATGCATCCCTTGCCACCACCATCTCCATTAACTGCTGACATTTATATATCTGTAAGTTTAACAAAGCACTTTTTACATGAATTCGATGATTTCACTTGGTCAGAAAAATTCCATTTTGACCACCCACCCGGTGCCTCACTCCCCACCCCCACCCCACTCCCGGCTTAAAGTAACCCACCGCCACGGCGCAGCATGGAAACGGGCTACGGCAGGACCCTTTAGGGACAGCTCTGCACCACTCCTGTTTAGCATGGACAGCCAAGAGCAACTTCACTAAGACATTTCAAGAGCAGAAAACACATTGGGCAGTGCAGCAGGACACCAGTGAAGTCCCCAAGGTACAGGATGGCAGGCGAGATGAATCGCTGTGTTACCCAGCTGCATTGATTGTGACACACTGAAGCTTTTTTAGCAGCTCTGTTGTGACCCTCAACACAGAACGCAGGTAAAGGAGGAGCTCAGCACGGGCCATTTTTCTCAGTGTGAGTGAAAGAAATAACTGGGCTAGCTCTGCTATTTGAGGGCTGCCGAAAATATTCAAAAGGTTCCAAAATCCCAGCACAAGAGGGTTCCTCTTTTTTTCCCAAAGTACCACATAAGCCCCTTAAGAAGTAAATGACCCTCCTGCTTCCTCAATTAACAAAGCCATGCAGAAGCTAAGAAACCTATTTAGATATCCTGTAGTGATTTCCCCATTGAACTGGATTTCAGATGACAAACCTGACGATAGGGGAAACTAGCAAAAGGAAAAAGGAGATGGAAGTCGAGGTGTGCCCTGTCTGGCTTCAAATAAACTGCCTTTTAAATACCTAGATGGAGCATAATGCTTTCACAGCACCCAGCCCAGCATTAGATGCTCTTAACAAAAAAGATCTTGGCTGTTTCTTTGTCCATCCTGTATGCATTTTCTCTCCAGAGAGCTGCTCTCTGTCTGTGGGAATTCCAAAGGTACCTAAAACTTGGCAGGCAAACGATTGATGCCCCAAACAGCCAAATCAGGTCTTTCTGCTTGTTCCTGGTAGTGTGGGATTAGATGGAAACAATGCTATAGAATGTGTACAGATTGGCCCCCTCTTGTCGTGCCCAGTCTCTCACTTATCTTCAATTTCTCCCTGTCTATTGACTCCTTCTCTTCTGCCTAAAATGTCTCCCCATTCTCAAAAAAAGAAACCAAAAAAACCCCTAACAACCCTCACTTGATCCCTCCATCTCCAATAACTATGACACTATATCTCTTCTGTCTTTTGTGGCTGAACTCAAAAAGGTTACCTACAGTAGGTGCCTCCACTTTCTCTCCTCTAATTCACTTCTTAACCCCTTGCAGCCCAGCTTCTGACCTTATTCCGCCAACACTGTTCTCTTCGAAGTTACCAGTCATCTCTTAGTTGGCAAATCTAATGGCCTTTCTTCAGTTCCCATTCTGCAGCTTCTGACACAGTTGATCACACTCTTCTCCCTGATATTCTCTCCCTCTAGATTTTTGGGACGTCTTCTCTTCTTCCTCTTGAATTACTTCACCTGGTGAGCTCATCAGCTCCCATGGATTTCATTACTATCTCTATGCTGGTGATTCTCAAATCTGCCTATCCTGCCCTAACCACTCCGCTGACCTCCAATCTCAAGTCTCCAACTGTCTTTCAGACTTGTCAGTAGACATATTAAACTTAACATGTCTAAAATTGGACTCCTTCTCTCCCCCCACCCCAAAGCCACATCTTCTTCTAAATTCCATGTGACTGTCAAGGGCAACACCATCCTCCTAGTCTCTCAGGTTCAAAACCAAGGTGTCGTCCCCAACTCCTCCCAACTTTTACCCCCATATCTGCTCTGCTGCCAAGGCGTGCCGGTTTCATCTTTACTTCTGTCAGATACACCCCCGTTTCTCCTCTAATGCCACCAGGCCCTCATCACCTAATGCTTGAGATATTGCAGTAGCCTGCTGGTGGGTCTGCCTGCTTCAAGTCTCTATGCACTCTAATCTATCTTCCATTCAGCTAAAGCTCAGCTCTGACTATATCACCCCCTACTCACCAAATTCCAGTTGTTCCCTCTCACTTCTGGGATCGAAACAAAATCCTGTTTGACATTCAAAGTTTTGCATAATGCAGCCCTTCCCATACACCTTTGCAGTTTTCTTATATCTTCCACCCTCACCCTCACCGTCAAATCCAATATTTTCTTTGATCCAAGCACATTGGCTCCCTTGCTGTTCCTCAAGCAAGACATTCTATTTCTCAGCTCTGGGAATTTTCTCCAGCTGCCCCATACCTGGAAGGCTCTCTCTCCTCCCCTCACCTAGTGGCTTCCCTGGCTTTTTTTCACGTCCCAATTAAAATTCCATCTTCCTTAGGAAGCCTTTTCCAACCCATCTTAATTCTAGAGGCTCCTCTCTATTTCCTATTTATCCTGTACATAGCTTGTCTGTGCGTATTTGTTTGCTCTTATTGTCTCTCCCACAAGATTATAAACTTCTCAAAGGCGGGGTTTGTCTTTTGCCTTTTTTTATTCCCAGAGCTTAGCACAGTCTCTGACACATAGGAGGCACTTAATAAATGTTATTGATTGAGTGACTTACCATGCAGACAGCCAGGCTCATCTTCATGCTGACTCCAGCCAGGACAGCACCTGTAGACTGTCTGATGCTGCCTGCTGTATACCTGTCTGTAGACGATGTAGTAGCCAGTCCTGGAAAACAGAGCAATGGGGATTAGAGAAACATCATCCTCTTCCCCCTAAGACTTTAAACATAATGGCCATGTTAAATCCACAAGGCTGTAGATCAATCTTCCTGCTCTGCCCCCCGCAGCAGTTTTTCATCATACATACACATGAAATAAAGGCCTAACAGTTATTTTGTCAAAGGAATGTGGGCTCACTTCTCTCTTAGATGTCCTGGGAATACTTAGGACCACCCAGGTCATAAAGTGGGCTCCTTGATTCTACTCTCTCCCATTACCAATGGGTAATGACTTTCCCTTTGAACTTAGCAATTTGCTTGGTAATTCTCTAGTGTGACTAGGGATTGTAGGGATTTCTATTTGTCTTCTCTCCCACTAGACTATTAGGTCCACGAGGGTCTTATCTAAAACTTATATCTCCCTTAGAGCACCAAATGATGTTCTTAAGTCAATCAATCAACAAACATTTATTAAATATTATGTTCTAGACACTGTTCCAAGCAAACAAAAATGCCTGCCCTCAAGGAGCTTACATTCTCCTGTGGGAGACAACATGTAAATAACAGAATATATAGAGTAGATGGAAGGCAACCTGAGAGGGGAAGGTGTTGGCACCTGGAAGCACCAGGATAGGTCTCCAGAAAAAAGTGGGATTTTGGCTGAGCCTTGAAGGAAGGCAGGAAGCTAAGGCAAGGAGGTGAGGAAGGAAAGTATCCTAGGTATGGGGGGCTGGGGTGCTAGAAACCATTTAGCAAATATTTATTGAATGAATGTTAAATGAATGATGCAAAGTCAAATGATAAAGACTTGAAGGGTAAAGTACAATCAAGTTCACTTCAAAAACTAAATATTGAGGACCTACTATGTGTAAGTCATCGTGTTCAGATAATATGGTAAGAATACAAGTTTTCTTTTAAAATAGGCATTTATTAATGCCTGCTCTGTGCCATGTAAATTGCTAAACACCTTACAAATATCTCATTTAATCTTCACAATAACCTCCTTATTTTTCTTTTTTTACAATGGAGAAAACAGGTTAAGTAACTTGCACAGGGACACATAGCAGGAAGCATCTGAGATTGTATCTGAGCTCAGGTTTTCCTGATTCCAGCTTAGTGTTCTATGCCCTGCAGCACCTAGATGCCTGGGTGTTTTCAAAGATGAAAACAAAAATGTCCCTGCTGTCAATGGTGCTTCCATTCTACAAAATTTAGCGTGTACACAATGTAGTAAATAGGAAGTAGAAGCAAAATAATTCCAAGAGGAAAAGAGAATCAATAACATTCAATCAATAAGCAGTTATTAAGCAACATTTATTAAGCATCTACTGTGTGCCAGGCTCTTAGCTTGGCATTTAGGATACAAATACAAAAGTTCATCAATGCCTGCCCTCCAGAAGCTTACATTCTACCAGAAGGAGGTCTTGCACATTGAGCTGTGCTTTGAAATCCAAATTCCTCACCTTGGATTTTAAGCTCTCCTTTTTAAGGAGAGTGTCAAGATCATGGATTTTTAAAAAATCTGTCTACCCCCTCCCTTTGCAGATAAGGAAACTGAGGCTCAGAGCAGTTATAGAACTTGTCTAAAGTCATAGCTATTAAGTAGTGGTGCCAGGTCCTCAGTTCTTTCTACTACATCATACTGCATCTTCCCCTAATGCCTCAACACAAACCCTGTACTGTCATTACTAACTCTTAGTCTTTGGTTATGATGTTTTCCACTACTTAGATAGACTCTTCTCCCGTCTTACAGCCTATTACCCCTACCAACCCACATTTAAAGACCATTTAAGTCCTGCTTCTTCCATCACTACTACAGCTTCAGCACACAATGATCTCTCTCTCTCTCTCTCTCTCTCTCTCTCTCTCTCTCACACACACACACACACACACACACACACACACAATTTTTCTCTGAACAACAGTGCTAATTTCATGTACTAATTTTTGAATTGCTGCAAGTCAAGAAACAGTATACTCTCTAAATAATTTAGGTTGCAGGTTACCCATAGGGAAATAGAGAGGTATGCAGTGGGTATGAGCAGGCTCTGACATTACCAAGTACATTTGTGCAAATAATTGGCATTACGGATACCATCAGAGAGACTGGGGGAAGGGGGGTGGGATGGGTCAATCACATAGCAAGAGCAAGAGATAATAAGCATCAGACAGCTCTTACTCTCCATTGGTACACAAGTGATGTCTAATGTGCTAGAGGAAGACCTCCAGCACCTTGGGATGGACCTCCAGAGGCACACTTCTCAGTTTGTTTACTAGTAATATGAGGTAGAGTTAACAGAGGTCCATATCCACAATGATTTCTCAGATACGGGAAAGTATACCCAAATATGTCAGCTAGAGATTTGTGTTCTCATTCTTTCAATCATTTCATAAGGATCTACCAATATGCTATATGCACTGCACCATCCTAAAAAATGAGTGAGATTAAAAAGAAAACATAATGTGGTCCCTGACCTCTAGGAACTCATGATCTAACAGAGGTCATGCAACTCTCAATTGAACTACAAAGAAGTGCATGTTTTTTTTTCCAGAACATATTTATTATCTCATTGCTCTGAGGAACTTGCCACAAAGGAAATTCTCTCTACAAACATAGATTGGAATCACACACGATGGACAGGCACGGATGGTTTGTGATCTGTGCCACTGAAGAAAATACCTCCAGGTGGAGAAGCAGCCTTGTGCAGCAGATAGAGCACTGCCCTCCAAAGCCAGAAAGACCTAGGTTCAAATCCTCTCCCCTTGATACATGCCAGCATGCATGACCCTGGTCAAGTCACTTATATTCTCCATGGTTCACCAATTCTCTAAGTCTATTAAATCACAGAACAATTGCCAATCATTCCTAATAGCAATCAGGAGAAAGGAGAGATCATAGGATAACCAGGCAAGTCCAGAGGAATCCCAACCTGATCTCTTTCAACTTCTCACTTCACAGGAGGAAGTGAGGGGCAGTGAAAAGAACACCGAGTTAGGAATCAGATGATTGAGGTTCAAATCCCTTTTCAAATCCCTGTGTGATACATAGTGTCGTAGATGGGGAGCTGGAAAGGACCTGAGAAGTCATGCCATCTAGCCACCTCATTTTCAGATAAGGAAACAGAAGCCCAGAGAGGTTAAGCCAAGATCTCATAAGTGACAAGCTGCAGAGTAAGATTTCAAATCCAAAACATTTTTCTACTCTACTACATAGAGACTACTGTCTCTATGACTTTAGATTCAACTTAGACACAATCTTTCTGGGTTTCACTTTCCTCATGTAGTTAAAAAAAAAAAGAGGAGAGCAGTGAACTATATGACCTCTAAGATCTCTTCAAGCTGTAAACCTATGATCCAAGGATCACATGGACCTGAAAGCAGAATAATGATCAAAGCATGTGTCCCTGAAGGTAACAATTAATCCAAACAATCTGCATGATAAAGAGTAGCAGTGTCAAATTATTCCATGTTGGAATATTTGATTGAGTCTCTCTCTCTATGCTATCACTCATGACCTTCCAGTATAAGGATGGATGAATGAATGGGCATTTATTAAGTGTTCACTATGTACCAGGCATTGTGCTAAGTCTGGGAATAGAAATGAAGAAGTGAGACATCTACCCTTGCCCTCAAGTAGTTATGTTCTAAGAAAGAAAGATAACACATATAGAGGAAAGTTGCTCATGAACGGATAGTTTGCTTTGGAAAATGAAAGCGATGCTGAGTGACACCAAAGGAAAGTTGATTGACATGCTCTTTCCAGAAGCAGTGATCACCCTGATTTAACTAATGTAACCAGAGCAAGATGTGGAAAGCAACAGGATTAGCCCAGTTGGTGATCATGCTTTTTGAAAAGTCCCAAATTCATGTATGTATGCATGCACACATGTATCTGTGCGTATGTATATACATGCATACACATATATATGATATCATATCTAATTATGCCAAACATGATTTCTTTGATAAGTCCCAAGTTATGTTTAGGCAAACACTTTCCCCTCCTCAATTAAAGTTTCCTGAATCCATACATATCTGATTCATTTATACAGAACTCTATGATATGTTGGATCTCAGTGTTTCTCCCAGAAATAAAAGAAGCCCCTGAATGTTTGGTAAGAGCTATTGTGCAAAAGTCTTTCTGAAGTCTTTATGCCTTAAAAGGGTGGGATGTCATTTTTCAAAAGCAGAGAGCTTCTTCTATTTCTTCTTATGTGCCACAACCAAGTGAGAGCTAGAGGCCCTGGTAAAGTTCAAGTCACTGTAGCTTCATACTGCTGCAAAATTTTCAAGGGTGGGTCAGAAATTAATTGAAAACTGTCGATTCGCTGAGGTTTCAAGTAGGCTATCAATTTAGTACACTGACATGGCATTCCTTGTTTATTTTGCTCCACTAGTCTTCAGGCCTTGGCTAAATGCCCTTCTAGAAGTTAAAAGTGGCAGCATCAAACCCCAAATAAACTACGTCTAGCAGAGGCTGAAAGCAGTATCATGGCAGCTAACCAAAATATCCAGACACAATCATCACAGACAAGCCCTAAGACCAAAGCTGAAAAGCTCTTGTCTATAATTATTCACAAAAATATTTTACTAAGAAACATTTTGATTAATACACTCAAAAGCTAGACCTCATTCAGTTAAAAAAAGATGTTGAAATTGGGGGAATAGATGAACCATTACCTTCTTATATATTCCACGCACCATCTTGGTCCAGTACAGCCTTGCTTCCATAGCTTTACCGTACGAGTAAAGGGCTGGACACATGGTTGGGGAAGGCCAACCATATCCAGAACTTCTTCCTCACACACATTGGGCCTTGAAAAAAAAATGGAAATCCACACTAAGCTTATAAAATTTATAACTCCACTTTTCAAATTCAAGAGCAAGTTGATAGCAGCCAACTCCATTTTTTCTTATATTTTAAAGAAAGGCATAGGATTCTATACATTATTTTTCTGGATACTGTTAGATCATACTGTTGACTCATACTAAACTTGAAGACTACTGAAACACCCAGTTCTTTTTTTCAGATGGAGTGCTATCTAACCTTCTTTTCTCCATTTCGAACCTACACAATTGGCTTTTAAAACATTAGAGGTAAGGCCTTACATTTATCCCTTTTAAGCTTCACTTTCAGAAAGTTTAGCCAAGTGCTCTGACCTGACAAGATTTGTTTTGAACCTGATACTATCTCCAACATATTAACCATCTCTCCCAATCTGTGCCATCTATAGATTTGATTAGTTACCATCATCATTAATTTTTAGTTATGCTTTTATTAAAGTTAATGATAAAAATTGTTGTTGTTTGTCCTTCATTCTCAAAGAAGACCATGGCAACAGGAAGGTGATGCTATGACTTTCAAGTGAATTGGGTTTGTGTGAGAGGGCTATGCAAAGTCAGCAGCCTCACTTTCTCTTCTGGATCCATATAGGTTCAGTAGAAGAATATAAATCAGTATGCCTGGAGATGGCCCCAGATGCAGTGGGAGACCTTGGACTTTTTAAGCTAAGGTCTTTCCCAGATTTCAGTCTGAGGCAACACCCATTCAGTGATTAAGGCTAGGTAAGAAATGAGTAATGATAAAAAAAAAAAAAAAAAGAATTCAACCATGAAAGGCTAAGCAATAACTATGCTTTGAGTGTGGTCATTTGACCAATGCTAAGTGCATCCAACTTGCATGAACATCTAGCCTACTTGTCTATATCTTGCTCAAAAGAATAGAATGAGAGTTATTTCCAAATGCTTTGTTCAGATCAAAATAAGCTCCAACTACAATATTCCCCTGATCTACCAACCTAGCAATTCCATTAAAAAACAAAAAAGAAGGTTAGCATAGAACAACCTGTTTCCTGGAATGTTTTACTGACACTGTCATCACTGCTTTCTTTTTTGGATGTTCACCAACCTCTTTAATAATACATCAATACCATAATGCAGAATTTTGTAAGGAATCAAAGGCAAACTCGCTGGCCTATCACTCACAGTTCTTTCCATGCTACGTAATTATTAGGAGAGTCTTTAGAATGTGGCTGCAGCAACTTTTTACATCACCTGTTTTGTTTGTGACTGACAGCCTCACCATGTGATTTATCTTCCAACACACTTTGAATTACTGATCTCTTATTTTAACTCAACTCTTTCAACATAATTTGTATTCTTTATCTGTACATCAATGCAAAAATTCAATTAAAAACAATTTCCTCAGCACCTATGTTTGAGGCATGATGCTAAGCACTGAGGATACAAAGGAAAAACCAAAATAATCCCTCCCCTCCAAGAGCTTAAAATTACTAAGAAAGGAAATAGAACTAACCACTGGGAATTAGGAAAGGCTGCCTCACAAAGGTGGCACCTGAGCTGAATTTTGACAAAAAAAATAAGGATTCTGAGAGGCAGAAATAAGGAGGGAATGCATTCTAGGAGCAGGAGCTAGCCTGTGTGCATTGACAGAAGAAAGAGATGGCATAGCGCATGAAGAACACCTACTAATTCAGTCTGAACCAAATACAAAATTTCTGTAAGGGAGTAAAAAGAACAAAAGGCTTAAAATATAAAGCTAGAAAGAGAAATTCCATTACGAATATCTATAAAACTCATCCAATGTGGTATTACCCAGAAAGACTTGTAGAATTACAGCTATAAAGTACTCTCTACAGAAATACAGTAAGATTTAAATGATTGAAAAGGTACTCATTGTTCATGGTTGGGCTACACACACACATATGTGTATGTACATATGTGCATATATACATTATATATATATATATATATATATATATATATATATACACATACATATATAGACTGGTAATTAAATTAATTTACAAATGTAGGGCTTCCCCCAATATTACAAAACAAACCAAGAGGAGACGGCATTCATATGAAAGAAATAGAAGACTAGAAGCCCGAGGAAAGTGGCCAGTTACGAGAGAAACAAAGGATCTTAATGCCACCATACTTCAAAGCTTATTGTAAAGCAGTAGTAATCAATATAATTAAATTAAAAATAGAACCGTAAAACAGACCAAATGGATATGAAGCAATCAAACAAAATAGCCCAACAAAACCAATTGTGGGCTACTTACTTAACAAGAAGTTTATCAAAATTTGGCAGAAATCAAATTTAGACCAGCTTCTTACACCATATACCACAATGATTTCTACTCAGATATATGATGTAAATATAAAAAGTCAAATAACTCTTTTTTTTTAATTAAAGGAAAACAGTAGGAAGTATCTTTCAGATCTATGACTAGGTAAAGAATTCTTAATCAAATGAGAGATATAAAGTCAACAATCAAGACTGTATGAAATTCCAGAAATGGAGATCCAAATGGAGTACACAGTATGAGGAATAGCAAGTAGAACAGCAAAGATGAATGAAAGAATGCATGGTAGAGATTTAAGGGCAAAAAAACTGGAAAGGCAGGAGGGGATTAGATAGATAAAAACAAGAATCCTATACTCCCTAGACCCCTAGGCTTGCTTCCAGTCCAGTCCACATAGCCATCATCCAAGCACGCAGCTCCTGTGGAGGGGACTGACCACCCAAAGGGCAGGCAACCTAGCCTAGCTAAAGCAGTAACGCATTCTGAGGAAGCAGCATGTGCCCAGCAAGTCAAATATTGGCCAACTCCTTGACTACCATCTACCCTCAGATGCTACTGGACACATACCCAAGAGCAGGAACACAGAAGTCTTCAGAACAGCAAAGCTTTCAGCTCAGGCCCCTTAGTCATCATCCTGGGGAGCAGCTCCTGTAGAAATGAAACCTGGCCACTGCTCCTGCAGGTGTTATAGCCATAGCTACTGAAGACAGAAAGTTCTTGCCATTAAAATCTCCAGAACTACCAAATGGTTCAATGTCAAAAACCAATGTGATTTGAAAAGTGAAAATTATATTTAAAAAGAGGCATTACTATTCACTCTGAATCACATTTGAAAACCTCCCATATGTGTTGTCTCCACCAGTAGATGGTGGACCCTTGAGAGTGGGGACTGCCTCATTTTTCTATTTGTATCCCCCAAACTCAGGCCGGTGCTTTGTACATGCTTCATTCGATTGTTCATCCATCATGAAGAGCTTTAAATATCAGAGAATTTTATATTTAGTTCTAGAGAAAATATAGAGCCATTGGAGTTTAATAAGTAAGGAGGTGACATGACTAGACTTATACATTAAGAAAATCACTCTGGCAGCTGAGTATAGGATACATTGGAGTGAGCACAGACCCAAGACGTTGAGAACAATTGTAATTTTATTTTCCAGGAAAAAAGTAACAAGGAGCTGAGCTAGCATAGTAGCTTTATGAGTGGAGAGAAGGAAGAACGTGAAGAGGAAATGAAGGACGTGTGAAGGACATTGTGAACAAAGGAATGACAAGATTGGCAACAGACTGGATGTGTGGGATGAGTGAAAGTGAATATATGAGACCTAAAGTCAGTTTCCAATAAATAAATAAATGGGCAAAGAATATGAACAAATGGTTTTTAGAATTTTGAGTATTTGGTAAATCAATAACCATATGAAAAATGTTCCAGATCAGTAATAATAGGAGAAGTACAAATTTAAACAACTATGAAGTTTCACCTTCCATCTATCACATTGGCAAGATCATAATGGGAAACTATGTGGCCCAGTGGATAGAACACTGGACCTGGAGTCAGGAAAACCTAAGTCCAGATCCTCCCACATACACTTAACTGGCTATGTGATCCTGGGCAAGTCACTTGACTTGCGTTCGTCATATGTAAAATGGAGATGATAATATCACCTACCTCTGGATTATTGTGATAACACAGAGAGAGAATAAAGTCTTTCAAAACCTTAAAGTTCTATATAAATGTTATTATAATTATTATTTTTAAAAGTCAGAAATCCCCAAATGTTAGAGAGAACGTAAGAGGACAAGCACACTAATACCCTGACCTGGAAAACAATTTTGTATTATGTGAAAAAGTCATTACGTTATTCATACCTTTTGACCAGGTGATCCCATTACTGTGCAAACACTTCTAAGGAGATCAGTGACAGAAAGAAAGGTCCCATATATGACAAAACATTTCTATCAGTCTCTTTGGGGAAGGGGAAAAAACTGGAGATGCAGTGGGTGCCAATTGATTAGGGAATGGCTGAGTAATTTGTGGTGGACGAACATCATAGAATATCATTATGCCATAAGAGATGATTATGGAGCAGAGAGACAGGACAATTTGGATAAAGAACAGAGTAAAGAAAGCAAAATCAAAAGATATATATGTATGTATACACATATGTGTGTACATATACACATATGTAGATATGTATATTTGTGTTTTATATATAGATATAAGGATATACATAAACAAAAAAAAATTAAAAGTAAATTTTCATGAATCAACAGGTCAGAGACTTGGATCTGAAAGGGCCCTCAGAGGCTATTGAACCCGACCTACTCCTTTTACAGGTAAAGAAACTGATGCCCAGAGAGGTTAAGGGACTCAACCAGGGTAACACAGCTAATCTGAGTCAGTATTTGAACCCAGGTCTTTTTGACTCCAAGACCAAATGTGCATGCATCTATGTATACATACACACGCATATGCACACACACACACATACATGGTATGCTACCTGAGGAAGGTGGCAGAGAGAGAAATGCAGAAACGATTTTGAAGAGCTTCTTAAAGCTATATTTTTAATGGAACAGATTTTTAATGTATGTAGCTAAACTATAAAAGTCATTTGAAAAAAAAAGTTTTATTGATATTTTAGTTTATTTTTATATCATCATAATTTTCCACAGTATCCTGCCCCCTTCCTCTCTTCCTAG